GGACCTCCCTACAACAACAAAATTTTCACGTAGATCATGCGTGCTCAACATTAAAACGTAGATAGAGAAAAAAAGCTTTCTATTGCGATTTGTTATTTCCTAACACTATTACTAATACTATTTCTATATTTAAAGCCGCAACCCACCAAATAATAAGTATAGGCGCCACGGACGCCTGGACGCCCAAAATAGCCGCCTCTGCTCGTAGTCTAAGAGTCTGGCATTCTACCTACATATTCCATACAACGTAGCCTGGCAGTACTGATGAAAGTGGACACATTAAAGAACCATTCAATCCCTCAGGATACTTCTCAAGGAAGGTCTGATGGAAAACTTGAATCGTTTTCAGCAGCTTTTGGTGTTTTGAAACTCAGCTCCATACAACAAGATGGGAGGACAGCACCCTATAGAATCCTGATCTTGTGGAGACTTTAATTAGTTCTGCTACTCCACATGTTCCAGAGCTGAATGAAAAAAGGCGCCAATATCCTTCCTGATACGACCTCCAGTTCCCAGTTGATTGTCCCATCCCCACTGATAGTTGCACACATGTAGACACAGTTGCTTAACCTGCTCCAACGTGTATCACCCCTCAACGACAGCTGCTTCCAACCCTGCACAAGTAAAGCGGCCATTTGTCATGTGTCATAACAACCTTTTCCTCTACTGTAAACCCAATCTATAAATGTTTTTTTGCCATGAAACGGAACCATACTCGATCCGAACTCATATTCCCCACCTCATCATAGCATATCGCTTCAGCAATGTTACAAAGGGCATAACCTCCATCAGTTTAATGTAGTGAAATGACCTGGTGTGAATGCAGTAGTGTATCAAATACAAGTTGGAGAGGATCAGGTCAGCTTAGACAGCATCCATGATGTTACACAAACCCTCTGGGACTTTACTGCGCCCAGTCTCCAAAGGTTACATAAATTCTACTACACAAAAAAACACAGACACAAACACCAACAAGAAACTTATAAACACTACTAGCTCAGAGAGGAAATGAGTACCCGGCTCAGGAGAGTATGTCTAAACAAGGGCCGCCCTTGTACGAACACACTCGGCTAGAATCAGTGCAATTCGGACACTACTATGCAGCAAACCATTCTAAATCAAATACTAAATGAAATAACCAATCAGATCTCTTTCATGGACCAAATGTGTGATTTAGTGGTAAATACATATGAATACAATTATTGAAATATCTCAATGCTTGCCAAAGGATGCCCTTTCGGTACACGTAATAAAAATGCTAGTAAACGATAGCTCCTAACAAAACTCGTTTTCATTACTGCTTACAAACATATCGTAGAACGGCCAATATAGTGCTTTAATGAAAAAAGTTACTGAGCTCAGCAGGACGGATTTTAATAGCATACAAGGCCCCCTCATAAGAGGTAATTCTTGGCTAAGAATTGCGATTCATAGCTTAAGTTTTTTAAACCTTTAGGATATTGCTATCACCTTGCAAGCAAAAACTAACAAAATAAACCTCGCAGGTAGATCAAGAAGTTCACAGGATCTGTCAGTCACCCAAACAATAATACTTCACAAACTTACATAGCCTCGATTTGGAATTTTATTTGCCGATTGAGGAGCCGCGCCATCAAAATAATTCAACGGAAAGCAAAAATCCAAAAATATGAATATTTGTACTTTAACAATTTATAAGTCATTCAAAAAATTTTTTTTATCGCAAAAATATAACAAAATTAATACAAAATAATATTGTGTACTTGAGAAACGCAACATTGAACATATTTTAAACTAAAAACATGTTTTTTAAATTTTTTTCGGCGCGGCTTGGCTTTACTTTTTGAATAGCTCGATGAATAAAGTAATTACAGTTTTAAGCTAACACAAAAGATATCTTTTTCAAGAGTCAAACCAAAATCAATAAACAAACATACGGCAAAAAATAAAAAATATTATGTAATAGTGAAATTTGGTTGACGATGTCAACCCATCGAGATCTTTGCTCTTGGCGAAGCAAGAAATTGCTAGTTCGCGCGGCGCGACCTCGAAGCGGCCGAACGGCCTCCAATAGTGCAATGATCAGAAAAGAAACATTAGTTAAATTTAATTTTAATTTAAATTGTTATTCATTAAATGCAGAATTATTAATTGTTAATTTTCGTTACATTTTTTGCGTTAAAAAAAGATTTTGAATTACTTCAAAATTGTTCACGTACAACAGAAATTGAATATATGGAATTTTTAGCATCCCGTTGAAGTTTTTTCATGCGCGGCTCCTCAATCGCAAATCCAATTCAAAATCGAGCGCTACGTAAGATTTGTGAATTATTACTGGTTTTTGTTGCACCTGCAGAATCCTGTGAACTTCTTGATCATACCTGAGATGTATTATATCGTTTAGATTTTGGCCTTGCAAGTTTGATATCAATATCCAAAAGGTTTATAACTTCATGTCTAGTATCCAGCAATCTTGAAGCAAAGAAATACCTTTTATTATATCACGAGGGGCCCTGACTGCTAACAAATTCCGTCATGCTGAGCTCAGTGCATTTTATAAGGCAGTTTTCTAAATTGGGCAGTTCTCGATATGTTTGTAACATAATGCAAACGAATTTTTGGAAGAAGCTATCGAGTTTACAAATCGCCATGCCGAATTATATTGTGCTGTGTTGAAGAGCAGTCGGTTGAGGGTGAACCCGATTTGAGCAGGTTAGCAACTTTGTCTACCTGTGTGCAACTATCAGTAGGATGGACAAACGACAGAGACCTGGATGACCGTAACCAGAATGCCTAATAGGCGCCTTTTCATCAGCTCAGGAACAATTGGAACAGCAGAACATCAAGACACTAACCAAGATCAGGATCATAGCATGCTGATCCCTCACCATCTTGTTGTATGGAGCTGAAGTCTCAACCAACACCAAAAAGCCGATGACACGCTTCAAGGATTTTTCCATCCAGACCTCCTTGAGAATATCCTTTAGGATTGAAATGATCTTTCATGTGACCCACTTACATCAGTAACTGCCAGGCTACTATTGGCGTATGGACAAAGTAGTTAGAATGCCAACTCTAACAACCGAGCAGAGGCGGCTATTTAGGGCTTCCCAGACCGTACCGAGGACGCCCTAAAATTATTATCTGGTGGTTTGTGCTTAAAAAAGAAATAAGATGCCAAATTAAAAAGTGTTAGGAAAAATGACAAATCGCAATATAAAGCTCTATAATCACTATCATCCGTTTTAAAGTACGCGCACGCATAGATCTACGTGAAATTTTGTGTTGTAGGGAGTCCAACCCACCCCCCCCATCGGACTTCTCAGCCGCCAGTTTTAACACAAAGTTAATTGTAAACGTTACAAAGCACTTCGTGGTCATCCCCACTACAGGTAAAACTATTAGGATATGCCTCGATTTGAGGTCCAGGACCCTTTTGCAGTTTTGTAACATTGACTGGTATGGATACTGTGTGCGCTGCTGAATCGTAACACTTGTGGGAGTCTGTTTCAACCATGTTATAAGTTTTTGTTTATTGTTTGCTGTCCCGCCTTTAAATGATACACATTACCTAAAACAAGGCCACTGCTGTAATGTAATCAGTAGTTTGCGAGGAATCCTCTGATCCGGCTCCCAAGCACCCCTCCCCACCCCACCCCCAGACCCATCGATTGGACCCCGCAATACAAAACTGCCGAGCCAGCTCCCATGATCTGCTCTGCTACCGAGTTAGCTGTTTGAAAACTGGAATCCCAAATAATGGAAAGAGGTCAAGGGGCAGACCCCTGAAGAATATGGAATACACTGAGTACACCAAGATGCAGGTAAGTTTACAGGTGTGAAACAACGACAACAACACAACAGACGCCTTTGGCTAACCAACCGAGTACAGTGGACGGACCATAAGATACCCGCCAACGCGATGTGAGTTGATGCAGGCCACTCCAACGACTAGGACGTAGGAAGACCTCTTTCAGTCTTCATGTAGCTGAAGTGTATATTATTACATTGCATTACAGCCTGTCACAGAATTTATAGGGAACCCTTTTCGGGCTTTCTTTACTAAACTGATTTTAAATAAGTTGAATGACGACTAGTTTGTCATAGTGGCCTAATGGAGCAATCGTAACTTACAATGTAATTTGTGATCAAACAATGTAACTTTTCATCAAAACCTTTTTTATTCTATTCTTTAGTCTCTCTGTGTACGTAAGAACCACTGCACTCAGTAACTAAAATTATGCATAGAATGTTACACAATATCTTTAAATTACCACTTTAAATGTAACGCACTTAAATTGTGAAAAAAAAACACACTTGACAAATGTTTGAAAGGAGTGTTTAAACCACTATCTGACAAGAAGCTTTTCACTTCACCATTTCGTTCAGAATGGAAGAGTTTGTATGCTGAGAAGAGATAGAAAGGAGATGAAGAGTAAAACTGGCAAACAAGTATTGGACAGTAATTAAAGCTCGACACCGGTATTTACAATAACAACTGTATCATTAAAAAATAAATTTCTTATACCAATTGTCTCAAGCCTGAACTTGAAAAAACTTTATCAATGACTGATGTTGGCCTACATTAGTGTTAGTTCTTTAGTATATTAAGTGTGAGTACTTTACCGGTGTGCATACTGGTTACTACTGGTTACTACTGGTTACTTTAACCGTAGAACGTAAATTATTGTATTGCGATTAAACTATTAAATTAGGCCTATGACAATACAGCTTTGTATCGCTCTTTACTTAGTCAAAAGGGACTTTCACTATTTCTAACGAATGTTATTTCAGGTGCTTCCACTATACAGCTTGCCTTTTACGCACTATACTAATGCTTTTCAAACAAAGTTACAACGAATTCTTCATGTAGTGCATCCTGAGTTTGGACAGGATATGCCCGTTTAAAATAAGGGCCCTTATAACAATAATTTAATAAGCGAGTTTGATTCTCATACGAATCACATCAAATAAAGTTAAATAAAAACGAAAAATAACGATATTAGTGATTGTTTCCTTACTTTGACAGTGCTGAAGTCAGCGTGAATGTTAACAGTAAACTCCTCTTGGTGCTCTGCCAGGTGCACTTGTTGCAGCGAGAAAAGTCTTAGTTTAGCTGTTTCGTTAGATTCGTCAAAGGAGAGAACATTCTCGTAACACCTAACTGCCTCCTTCCAATCTCCCTGATAACGGTGGTTACTATTAGTTACTAATGGTTACTATTAGTTACTAGTGGTTACTATTGGTAACTGTTGGTTACTAGTGGTTCAACTGGTTATTAAATATTAATGGTTACTATTGGCAACTAATGGTCAAGAGTTTAAATTCCCAAATAGTCAGACTGAGCAGGTTGAGCTGTAGTAAAACACAGTACTGAGGTGTTAAAACATTTTCATTACTATCTTCAGTAACATCCTGAATCAGAAACTCGGTTAATATCAGTTCCTACAAAGTGTAACATTGGAAATGAAATGACACAACTAAAAACGATATGAATATTTTTTAAAAACATAACTCTTGTGCCCCAATGCAATAAAAAACATTTAAGATAAATCCAATAATGGAATCCCAAACGGGTCCAAGGCATTGAGCCCCAATGGACGTATAGTTCTTAGTTTCTGAATATAACGGTGTTCATCCACTTCTAGAGTTCTTGGGCTACTATTACTGAGAATTGACACTTTATAAGCCTGGTTGAAATTGTCACGTTGTTTCATGTTATGAACTTCTAAAAGGTGTTTACCCAAGCTGAATCCGTCGTCGTTTTCTTCAGGGACAAACGTATTGTCCGAAATGAGTTTGTAGTAATGGGCGCGATGTTCGTTTACTCGTGCCCTGAGGGGCTGCACCGTTCTTCCTACATAACACATGTTACAAAGTTGGCAGCTGAAGAGGTATACAACATTGTAGCTGACACATGTACCAGACACTGCTTTGGCTCGCTGTCCATTGACTGTTATTGATGGATGTGGAGATATGATGTTACAGGTACCGCAGTGTCTGCCCCCACATGGTCTTGTGTGAGGTTGGGTTAAGTCATCCGCAAACTGTTTTGCTTTGACTAACTTCCTTCTAAATGATGTTCCAGTACGTCTGACGAATTTGAAGATAGGGCGTGATGTACCGGCTCTAGATGATATTGGGGAGCCTGGGGTGTTTCCACTTGTATGGGAACCAGATAATCCTGAGAAGCTCCTGGTTCTACTGAGTTCTGGTTCCAATCTTTGCACCGATTCTACTAACTCTTGATCACTGCCAAATGTTGAAATAACGCGGACTGCTGGTTCTGGAGACTTTGGTACCAGGACATTGCTGTTTGAGTTGTCCAGTGGTTTGAGACATCTTTCAAATGGCAACTAATGGTAAATAATGGTAACTTATGGTAACTTATAATATGATAAATAATAACGAATAATAATAATTAGCAATGATTTTAAACCTGATCCTCGTAGGAGAGACCCAGCTGTACCCAAGTATGAGGGTGATCAGAGTTACACGACTTCGACAGTAGCTCGTACAGAGGGCGTGCTGGGGGTTAAGTTTTAAGAATTTGTTTCTTTTTTCTCTTCTTTTTAAGTTTTAAGGCTTGAGCAACGAAGATATATTAATGCAAGGTCTTCAAGAGATATAGATGGAGCTAAAAATACTCAATACAGAGTGCTTACTTCATATTATATTATATACAATAGCCGAAAAGACCCAAACATTCAAAAAATAACTTCTTACCTGCATTGATGTTGTTGGTTTCAAAGTAAGCGTCAGCGACGAGCAGAAGCCCTTCATTGGTGTCTTCTTTCGTCAGCAGGGGACGCAACAAATCCTCTGTGTTTGCTGAGATAATTGTGCTGTGATAAAACGGCTTTTAACAAGCTCCAAACTCAAACCTCGGGGAAAATACTCTGGGGCAAGAGGTCACTGGTAATAAATCCTGGAGTTTTTTTTTCGATACAACTGCAGCAACCTGTCAAAGAGACCCCAGACAACCAGGTAAACTACCACAGAAGATAAGAATTTTTAAAAAGATAAGAATTTTTAAAAAGATAAGAATGTTTAAAAAGCTCACTATGATCGTGGTCTAGGTGAATGAGAGAAGCGACAAGGACAGCACGGATAACACAGGGACATTCCTCATTAGAGATCTTGTAGTGTTTGGCATCTACTGGTATGTTGGTAGCAGCTGTACTGTCTCCTGTTTGTAGCTTCTCTAAACGATCTTAGAAAGTGGCATATTAGTAATAATTAGTAGTAATGATTAATTGATGCTAAATTATCGCGAATTAGGGGTTTATTCTCAATGTTTATATTTAAGTATTTATCATTATCATTGCAAAAAAATGATAAATTGACTGAAAATTAGAGCTTTTCAGCAAGACCAATAAAAATTAATTGACTACAATTAAAGAACCAACAATAAAGACTCTAACCTTGCACCTGATCGAGGATATTATTCTTAACTAGAATTAAAGAACCAACAATTAAAGACTCTAACCTTGTACCTGATCGTGGATATTATTATCAACTAGAATTAAAGAACCAACAATAAAGACTCTAACCTTGCACCTGATCGTGGATATTATTATCAACTACAATTAATGAACCAACAATAAAGACTCTAACCTTGCACCTGATCGTGGATATTATTATCAACTACAATTAAAGAACCAACAATAAAGACTCTAACCTTGCACCTGATCGTGGATATTATTATCAACTACAATTAAAGAACCAACAATAAAGACTCTAACCTTGCACCTGATCGTGGATAGAGCTGGTGGTGTCTAGCTCAGAGCGCACATATACTACTGCTACTAGGTCAGCAAATGCTAGGAAGGGAGGGATTCTACTGTAATGCTTCCCCGATAAGTACAACTGTGAGGGGATTTACGGGTCAGTCAGCAATGGAACAAGTAAATATTTGAATACTGAAGTAAGATAGTAATTTGTTTAGTGAATTCGTTCATTAATTCAAATTTTAGAAAAATAGAAGGTGCTTTTCTTCATATCCCGCCATCCACCTTACACTTAGAAAAATCATTCCTAAAATAATAAGACGAAAAATATGGTTAAAAGCTGTTCATATACTAATAAACACTTTAACAGTTCACCAGATACCTTCCTTATCGAAATACATGAGTGAACCTAAAGACATAAGAGTGTCTACCTTACAAACTTTAACGACTTTGTCCATAACAGCAAGATCCGGGTGGGCCTCAATCAGACTCACGTACGTCTTGGCCCAAAACTCTTCCTTTTTCGAATCATCAGAGCATCTGTTTGAGGGTTAATTTTGTATTACGGGGTGACTCACAAGTGACTACCCACACACAGCCCTTTATAACTCTTGGAATCTGTTTATAGATATGGGTCAAACTTAGATTCGCCGAAAGGTTCGTAAAATTTCGTCGATTAGTGGGTGTGGCATACCAGTCCCTCTTTTTCACTATTTTTGTCATAAAATGAGAACACTTCAGAACTAATCAGTGTACCTATAATAGCAAGGGGTGTACCCTAGCAAGGTATGCAAAAATATTTATTCTTTTTCCCACAACAATCGATCTCATACGGACTTTTTAAGGATCAAAGAAAAATTTTGTAGACGCGCCAAAAATCGGTAAATCGGGGTTTGTGGTAAATCGGGGTTTTACTGTACCTGGTCTCAAAGATGTTCACCATAGCTGTTAACTCCTCTTTGTCACTGTCCGATGATATTTTGATGAGTTTCCGATATCCGATAGCCAGTTTACTTGCAGTCTCTTCAGACAGCTTCTCTTCTAACGAACTTACAGGTTTCACAAAATAACTGGGGAAACAAAATGTTTACACGCAGTTAAAAAGAATTCGATCTGCTCATTTAATTATATGTTACAGTGCCACAGAAGCCGCTGTTAAAGAAACACCAGTTCGTTTATATTTATAAATAAATAAATAAAAATGGACCTGTTATTAAAGATAAAGGAGCAGTCATTTACGTTAATTCTATAATATAATATCTTCATGTTTGGGTTGAATTAGTCCAAAATACCTTATATATTATAATATATGGGTTTTGACAAGAATTGACAAACCTGATTACGTCCTCAATGAAGCCCCTGTCTCTAATAAGGTGAGAATACCGCAAAGCTTTACTCATACAGATCTTCTCATTTTCCTTATCGTTAAGATCGGTACATTTCTGTGCTAGACCGTACCTAAAAGTAAAACAGTCAATCATAAAGATAGTACAGTAAGACAATATTATGTTGTTCGGAATTCAAAATAGCGCAGAATGGAAAATGCTTCTTAAAATGCTTAATCAAACATTTATAGAGCATTTAAATGAGAAATGATGGGATAAATTACTGGCTACAGTATGATGTGATAGCGAAAAGCTCTGTAGCTAATGGTTACTAGGTTACTGGTTACTACGTTACCATTTGAGAGGGTCCCTTGGCCAGAGATGAGCGGACACCAGGCCATACTGGAGTGATTTGTACAAGTCGTTTTCCTCTTCGAATATAACGGATAGAGTCTCGTAAGGGGCTGGACTGTCCGGAATATTTCGTATTATCTGTCGGAAGCAGAGTCAGCAAATTAGAATCAGGAAATGGACAGCTTCAACTAAAGGGTCGTTCGCATATTACGTAACTACTTTTTGGACAATTTGTACCCCCCCCCCCCCCCCCGCCCTCCGTAATCAGGTTTACACATAGCTATTGTGTCAGAAATACACCAGCGTAATCATTTGGAAACCCCCCTGGCCCCTCCCCCCCTCGGCTGATTACTTAATAATATGTGAACGACCCCAACACTGAACAGAAATACAAATGTCAACTCTTGGTGTTACTGACATTAATATTACCTCTAAACAGACGTTAATGGCGGTTTTTCTGTCACCTTTTGCGACAGCAAGATTAGCTTCTCCCATCAGTAATTTGAACTCATCCGTCAGCCTGAAAGTGCAAGATGTAAAAACAACTGGAAATAGATTTTATTTATTGATTGAGAACTCATCTAAATTCAATCTAAATGTTCAGATAGAAAAAACTCTAATCTAAACTCAATCTAAATGTTCTAGAAATCCGTTAAATCTTTTTTAATCTCGAGTAGGTGCACGAGTTCGAGTAGGTGCATCAAGTAACCGCACGAAAAAAAACTTAGCACTCTTCACGTACTTCTCCCGTAGCAATTACGAATTCGTACGAACCGAAAATTTGTCTACAAAAACACTGTACACTGCCACCAGTTTACCACTCAACATATCGAGAAGCTAATACAGGGTGGCCCAATTTGGAGACGAATTACGTTAGTTATTAAGAGGTTGCGTGTGGGTATTCACTTTTGGGCCACCCTGTATTATTAGTAATATAATTGCAGACCTGTTAGAGAACTCGATCCTCTCAAATCTTCTACCACGTTTGTTCCGTACTGCGAGTCTCGCCTCGTCTTCCAGCACCTCCTCGTTAAAGTTTACTTCCTCCGTATCCAGACTCTCATCCTCCTCGTCTGATGATTATACATTTTCATATTAATTTGAATACTTACAGGTTTATTTAAGGGATTTGTTATTAAGAATAATGGTGCCGCTGAGACCAACCCATAATCTTAGGCTTCTTACCCGAAAAGATAAACAGGAATCATTGAAACGTTGCCTCGTGAGGAGCGAGTGTTTTAGAACATATTCTAACATAAATTGTAAGAATGGGTAATCAATCAGTAAAAACGTGAAAATCTGAACATACTTCAGGCACACTTCAGAAAATCAACGCTCGGACCAACCACAGAGTGGCCCAGAAGTAACTGCCCACACGCAACCCTTTAATAACTCACGTTATTCGTCTCAGGTTTATGTAGAGGTTCAGTGGTTCGAAAATCGTGAAGAAGAATATGTGAGAACTGAGAAACATTGTGGCGAAAGTGCCTGATAATAAACAGAGAAAATGTCGGAAAAAGAGAAACTCCTCAAGTACTACATTTATGATATCATATTGACTGGTCATATGGCTTGAGTCTTGAGAGAGAAGAAAAATAACAAAAAGAAACGGAAGACATGGTATGGTTAATGGTATGTAGGTATCTATACTATAATTCAAAGAATTATCTCTACTATAATTCAGAAAATTCTTTTTGTTGTACGACCGCCCACGTGCAAATAGATAAGAAATAGGTAGTTGCATAATAACCATAGTAACGAGGATTGTTACACGCACGTGCACGTGCAATGATTGTTTTAACGTCATTTTGATCGGTTTTGTTGATATTACGCTGTGTTTAGTACGAGCAACATTTAAATCGGCTGTATCTTTGGTTGTGACGGATATTTTTTGACGCGATAAAAACTGACTGCCAAAGAAATAGAAAACTACTAGATTCATCCCTGTACAGTGGCGTAACGAAAGGCCCTGCTGGCCCCGCTGTGCAGGGGGGCGCCGTCTTAGGGCTTTAGGGGGGCGCCAAATCGTCGTTTGAATGTGGGACAATTTCGAAAACTTAACTAAAGTACTAGCAAAACTGCGCGTTTTGCTCTAGATACACACTTTTTTAGAGATTTTACCGGCGTATTCTTTAAAATCACCTAATTTGTTCAATTTTAGGGAGGGGCACCAAAAGGGGAGAGGGCGCCAACAGGGGGCGCTTTTTTCGGCAGGGGGCGCCAACAGGCAACGTTACGCCACTGTCCCTGTAACCACGGGCTTTCCAGTTCTGTATAATGTATAATGTATAATGTACGACCGCCCACGTGCAAATCATGTTTACAAATTGTAGTTCATGGAAATGAATATTTGTGTTCATGTTTTGCTCCTTTGAAGAGAGAATTTAGAGACTTTTTCTATTGAGTAATGTATTCTATATTTCTAATGAACCCTCTGACATAGGCATCGTTTTTTTAATTTTTTAATGTTTAATTACCCCAATTAGTTAATTATTCATGAACAGAACCTTTGTGGCATATAAGCGTCTAATTCTCTTTGGTCAACAGAACTTGATTAAGATATGGCGCAAAATCTGGGAACAACTCAATAGCAAGCAATGACTGTCTAAGCTGAAGGACTAGTCCTGCAGCTGTGCGGCATAAGTATAACAACTTGCAGCAGTATTTCTTATCTTGTCGAATTCTAACTTGTTCTCATCATTGCTTCGCCAGAGAATCTGCAACAAACGAGTATATTATATTTGAGTAATATCTAAGATTCTGTGATTAATTTTTTTACCAAACCCCAAAACTGGGTAGAGTCGACTGTGGCCACTGTATTTCCTTTTTCGGCCAACGTTATACAGCGAGGCACGTTTACTTATAGCGAGGTACTTCTGTAATAACTATGGAGTTACCGTAACGCAACTGTCACTCCTTTATCAGCTCCAATAGTTCATTGTCCGTTTATTTCTAGATTTCCATAGAAGCCACAAAGTAAGAGACTAGATTCTGAATTCAATGGTAAATCGATTCACCATGCCCTCAGTAACTTGCCACTAGGATCATTGTGCTAAGAGAATACATACTATAACTATTGCAGTCACGTTAACTCTTGTTAAACTTACCAAGCCTGTCCGTCCTTGTTAATCTCATACGGGATTACAAACAGACTAAGTCATCTTTATATTCAACAGGTTAAAGAGAAAAGAACAAAAAGCACCGTTTAGGGCACCACGAGTGTTAACCGGGCTGCTGCGAGCTTAGCGTATTTATTCAAGGTACCAAGTGAGCCTAGTCGTATAGTCGTTAGCCATAGGAAGATCGATTAACTCCAAGTAGAATTATAAACGATCTTGAGGACTGAGAGGATTTTCAGGAAACGACTCTGCAGTGGTCGTTTTTGAGGGATACCTGAGGAAAATCAAATTTGGGTAGCAAAAATTGTATTTACCAAAATGTTAGTCAGAAATTTATAAAAGTTTTAGTTTACAATAATTTTGATGATATCTTTTTGACTTTCAGTATTTTTATAATTATTTGTCAGACCCATCATCCTTTCGTAGACGACTGACGAGGGATGGACGACAAGTGACCCCCCCCCCCCCCCCGATAATTGACCCTAACCCTAACCCAAACACTAGCACAAACCTTAACCCTAACTCTAACCCTAACCCTAACCCTAACCCTAACCCTAACCCTAACCCTAACCCTAACCCTAACCCTAACCCTAACCCTAACCCTAACCCTAACCCTAACCCTAACCCTAACCCTAACCCTAACCCTAACCCTAACCTTGTCGGGGGGTCAATTGTCGTATTAAGCCCTAGATTTCGCGACAATTGACCCCAGTGTAATTACATAGGGGGTCAATTGTCGGGGGGTCAATTGTCGGGGGTCAATTTTCGGGGGGTCAATTGTCGCGGTACGCTGACGAGACAGTGAAGGTGGTGTGTTGTTCCTTACAAATGATAACACTCACATCCATCAACCTTAGAAATTCCCATTCTTCTAATTATTAAAAAACGGCTTATGAATTGTCGTTCTAACTCTAAGTTGCATTTCCTCGTAATATGCAGTAGAGTTGTTATAAAAAGAAGTTTGTTAATAACTGACTCGACCGAATTATATCGACAAGAATTTACCGTCTTCGAAAAAACTATATTCTATAAATCTGTGTAAAATATCTCAGTTCACTATTTCCTAATAGTTAAATAGTACTGTGTGTTCCTTTGTCAGGTTAACTAGTTAACGTTATAAGGTTATACAGATTCACAGCATATGGTTTTTTTGAAGATGATAAAACCGCGGTAATATAATTCAGTCGAGTCAGAATTTCTAAATTCACGAGTGGGATCATTATTGTAGGTATGTTGCCTGTTGGGCTGTAAGTATTTTGTGAGCATGATATCATTGAATCTTTAAATGATCTTTATCTGCACCATTCACGATCCCTCGCCTTTATTATTTTACTAGCAGGAACCTGTCTAACCCTAAAATGGTGTCAAGACACAAAAGACTTAAATAATTATTACCTATTTAATACGCGTTTTTGACACCACTTGGGAGTTCAAATTTTGGGCACTAAAATTTTTATTCCTTGGCCAATTTTTTATTTTTCATCATTATTACACATTTGCATTCGTTACACTTTTAAAGCTCCTCGATTTACCACTGTCACCGTGACGTGGTTGTTGCTTTTAATCGCTGGCGTGGCCAGTATTGTGGCTGGAACTGGTCCTGCCCCTCCGCCTAACCCTATCTCTAATTCTCTGGACATATTGGAACTGGAATTGGGACTGGATTTGGATTCTTTTGGCTTAAAACCGGGTTTGTGGTTCTACTCGCACTTATATCGTACAACGATCAGGGACCCGATTATGTTTAACATCAGTTGTAAGTGTACCTACACACTCAACCACCCGTGTAACTGCAACTCTTCGCTCATCTGTTTAAATGAACATTTGCATTTTTCTTACACGCAGACGTACTTCCGGTGTCTTGGAAATTTCTCATATTATATACCGATGCTACACACTATGTGGAATAATGACGTATTGTTTGAATGTACTTGTGATATTTCGAATGTGACACTTGCAGTGGCCCCACGCCCAGACTTCATGCATGATGATCATCTGATAGGAGAATATCACACGAACGATGGAGTCCACCTTTCAACAAGAGGCAAAGAGGTCATTCTAGGAAACTTCCGTCACAGCATCCATGAAATGACAAGACTGCTTCTCAACAAGCCAAAGAAAGTCCGTTCTACAGGGGGATTGGAACCTTCTCCTCTTAGTCGAATGTGATTACACTGACATAGATTCTCATTTATACACATTATACCATGACTAGAAACACACAAAAAAATACACAGGTTTCAATTAATAAAAATAGCATAAAAATACTTTCTTGGAATATCCAATCGCCTTCATCAGTAGATGGGAGCAAATTTGAAATAGAATCATTTCAAAATGTTATCAAAGATCATGACATAGCCTGTCTTCAGGAAATTAGGAGAGAGGTTCACTTGGTAGGATATCGATCAATCTGCAACATAAGGAAAGACGGTAAATCAGGAGGTGTCGGTATCCTCATTAAAAATGAGCTTATTGAAGGGATTGAGTTTATCAAGAATACAGAGTGTTCAGACTACCTAGTTTGTCGACTAGACAAGGATTTCTTTAACCTATCAGAAGATACATTTATAGTTAACGTTTACATTAGACCATTTAATTCATCAGCCTCAAACCCGACTGACAATGGCAAAGATGCTCTAAAAAACATTGAAGACGTTGTGAACGAACTTCGGGAGGAGGGGGAAGTCATATTGTGTGGGGACTTTAACTCTCGTATAGGACAAAAAACGGGTATGATAAGAGAAGACTCAACCAACGTTGTTCCCTTACCAGACGATTATGAGCCTGACAACTTTCTCCCCCGAAACTCACTAGACTCTATCACAAATACTTACGGTACACACTTTCTTAACCTAGTCAAACATAACCAACTCACTATTCTGAATGGCCGTACCCTAGGAGATCTTGTAGGAAACTTCACAAGTATCCAAAAAAATGGGTGCAGCGTTATTGAT